AAGTAAATTGTAGTCTAGTCCAAGAAGAGGAAAGTGACAATAAGAACTGCAGAGAGTCAGACAGAAAAATGCTTTCAGTATTTCAAGAGATTGGAGAAGATTCATTGTAAGAGTTTTGTTACAGAAGAGCTTTTGGTAGAAAGTGGTAACAAATTGAGAGTGAGAGAGAGGAGTGAAAGTGAAAGGGTGGGGGCTGCATAGACCAAAGAATAAAAGAAAAGGAAAGAAAAAAAATTAATTGAGAGAAAACAAGCAAGCAAATGAACAAGCAAAAAATTACAACAGAAAGTATACTGGGAATGACATAGTCTATATAGAAGCAGAACAAAACAATATAGAGTAATGAGGATCCGTGGGGGAGAAACTATATAATCTATATGCCTTGACCTTTGTATTGGAGGAAACAGTAGTTGCAGTAGAAGAGAAAGTTTCAGCCACTCTGAAGTATGTATATATAGTGTTGCAGAATACCTTGGTTTTTTTAATCTTGCTTTTTGGCTTTGACATATGCAATCTGGTTCCTGTCGGTTCTCTTCAAAACATTGCTTGTAATATCATATTTCTGAGACAAATCTGTGATAATCTGCTCACTACTGCTTTATATTTCCCTCTGTTGCTTTCCCTTATGTGATGTACCAGGCTACTTTTATAAAAGGCACTTTATGCCTCAGCCTCAGTTCTGTCCTGTTTAATTGATTTTGATATTATCAATCTCTGCCTCAGTTTTGTCACTAGTAAATTTTTCAACCTAGAAATATTTGATGCTATAATTACAAATGAATCCCACTGATCTCCAGAAACATGAAGTTTATATCCAAAATCATCTGTTTCTTGAAAGTTATCAGCTTTCTTTCTAAATTGAGAAGTAGATTTAAAATTAGATAACTATAGGGATAATGAATGTGAAAGTCAACTGTATTGTTCAGTCAGGTTAATAATGAGGATGGAAACTAACAGAGAACAGCATGATTTATATAACATTGTCTTCCTGTCCTTTGAGGTGTTACTGAAATTAAACCATTTAAAGCCATTTTTTTCACATGTTTTCTGCCTGGACTAGTAAGTATTTAAGTTTCAGAAGGGAGAATAGATTAAACCAAGAATACTGCATCAGATGACATATAGAATCATAGAATAGTTAGGGTTGGAAAGGACCTTAAGATCATCAAGTTCCAACCCCCCTGCCATGGGCAGGGACACCTCACACCAAACCATATCTCTTAAGGCCTTGTCCAACCTGGCCTTGAACGCTGCCAGGGATGGAGCATTCACAACCTCCCTGGGCAACCTATTCTCCCGTGACTTGAATGTCAACCTGAAAAGTAGACAGAAGAAAAAAGTAGACAGAAGAATGACTCCTGGCTTGAATCACGTGCAATCTAAATATCAGCATTTTTTTTTTCAGATTTTTAGGTGAAATATGTTAGAGTTATGCTGCAAAAAGCTCTCAGGAGTTGCTGTTGAAGAAGTTGTGTTTGTGTGAATCAGATACATCTTCTCTGAAACAGCAGTATTAACGAGCATGATTCTCTAACATAGTAATTAAGAAGTTTGTAGAGAATAATTGGCTTCCAGTTACTGTTACAATGACTAAGTACTTGTACAACTTGTACCAGAAGAAAATCTGGATTTCTTATGCATCAGGTCTGACTGAGCTGAAACCAATTTTAAGTGAAGATCAGAGGTGAGGAGAACTTGAAATCCTTTTGTAAACATAAATGGTTCTGAGCCTTCATTTTGATGAGTCTGAGCAGGACAGTGGAAGATCTATCAGACAAAAGGTGTGGATCACTCTGAGAACACCCCAAATGCTCTCTTTTTCTATTACACCGGCTGAAAAGACATTTTTTTTATGTAAGAAGTCTTAGAATGACACATCACTTCCTCATGGTTTCCTTGCTCCCACCAGAATTGATTCAGATGGGACTAGGCACTGTGGAAAGGTGAGAGAAGTGCTGTTGAATGGAAAAATTCCTTGTTCCCACAGCTCAAGCCTGTATTCATCATAATCAAGTACCCCAAGAATTTCTTCTTTTGTTGGCAGTGAAAAAGGCGTGAATTTTATTCAGAATATTACGAATGAGTGAGATGGGGTTATAATGAAAAGATTGTGCAGCTTTTACAGTAACAGAACCTTTACATGAAACGACAGTAATAGGTGTCATAGAATAATAGTATTTAAATGAGTGCATTGAATACAGATATTAATTGTATTTCTATAATATAAGCACTTGACTTTCCAGAGCATAAAAATTACCTTAAAATTATGTGAGAGGTTTGAGATAAAGCAAGCGAAAGCTCTGAATTTCTTCTAAGGATTAAAAATCCAGAAAGATAGGCACAACAGGTCATAGCAGGATAACATAATAGGGCACCCCGTAGTGCTCAGCTACTAAAAGTTTAATCCTTGATTACGAATCTTATTGCTTTTGTGTGTTTGACTCGGATGCTTAAAATAATGTTGTCATGGATTTTTGGATTAATGTTTTTACATAATATATTGTAATTACATCATTTGTCTGGTTTCTGCCGTTTTTAAATCCATCAGCTGCTGCTGATTTCAGAACCTCAACAGTGACCCACAGTCTGCCCACAGTGATATTCACAACAAATTACATGTATCCTATAAAGTAAAAAAGTGATAGATGGGAGTTGGTAGAAGGCAGAATTATTTGTTCTAAGATCATTATACAAAGTTTTTCAGTATGGGTAAGCTAGAAAAATAGCATGATTTGCAAAGATTGCTATGGCAATTGTGGAGGAATCCAGTTAAAACCAAAATAATTCTAATTTTAAAAGAACTTACGTACATTTAATGTTAAAATTATATTACTAGAATTTTAGGATAAATTAAATATAATCCAATTTCTGTGTTTATTGTTTTCCGTTTGCTCGCTCTGGGTCTAAATTGTATTTCTTAGGTTGTTGCTTATTTTAAAGTAACTCTACAATGTTTTAAGTGAAAAAAAGCTATGGGAAAAAAAACTACTATTCAATTAGCAGCAGAATGTCTTTCATTAGTATAATGAAAATTATTCTAGATTTGCAGCAGCAGACACTGAAAGTTAAGGTACTGTCCTGGCTCAAAAGAAAAGAACAAAAAAAATCTTTGTTCAAATATGAGCAATTCGCTTAAGCTACTTCAATAGTACTGGCACGCTATGATGACAATAAGAAAGATATGCCATTCCTTCTCATTTAGAAAGTGAAATTTAAAGTTTTTCTCCTTATTGAAAAAAAGTAGTCTGTGTTGACTGTTGTGCATCATATGAAAGATTAATTGGGAAAACATGCATAGTAAAGATTAGAGAAACAGTGGTCTCTGAAAGTCTGAATTCCCTCTTTTGTTTTCCTCTTCTTCTTGGATTCTTTCACTACCTTTGTGTCCAAACTTTCCTTGTGTTTATTTTAACTGCTCTTAAATGCGACAGAAAATTAATTACTTCAGTGTTCTTTATTCTTGGGTAGTTTAAATGCAGGATGTATAACATGAAATAATTCCCTCGGAATCTCTGTATTAATGGAGGTGTTCCCTGCTTTGTTCAAAAGTTTCATAAAGGGAAATAGAGGATCTATAGAATAAAATTAAAAAAGTAGGTGGGTAATACTGTAATAAGTATTCCAATATGGTAATTATGAACTGTTTTGGTTTTTTTAATTTCCAAATATTCAGGACATACAAGGTAATAAATTTGTTTGTGAGTTTAATGAAAGGGACACTTTTACTAACATTCCCCATCAGATTTTGACAAATAGGATGAAATGGTTTTCTTCTATGTGGCTACATTGCCAAGTGTTAGTTTAATCTGAGAGTTTATGGCGTGGTGTTGGAAAACCAGGGAGTCGGCAATGATTTCAGTATTCATGTTCTGCTGTCAAATTCAGGATTTTTTTTTTCCCTGTTAACGCCTGCCCTGTGGTAGAATGCAGTGACATAAAAATGGGTTCTCCAGACTTTCAAAGATTTGGGCTCTTCCTACCCAGAAGTTAATAGCTGTGTCCATTTACTGAGTATTGGGAGTGTGGTTTCAGATAGAATTAGCAAAAGTAAAAACTAAATCTTTCATCCCTGTACCTCTGCCCCAAAGTAATGATAGAGCTAGATAACTTGCAACCATTGTCTGCATCATCATTATTGTAGAGCTGTTCTGTGCACTGTGAGGCTCAGGTCTTTTAAGTTAAATGGAACAGAAGCTAGACTTTATTTTGGCATAACATCTTACAAGGGCTAAGCAAGCATTGTAATATAATAACACAGAGGGTGTTTACGACAGTTGCAGTGAAGTAGGCAGCCATTGTGAACTTGAGCTAAGCTCCATAGGGCTGCCACTGGCGAGTAATTAGTCTTAGGGAAGAGTCAATATATAAAGTAATGTGGGCTGATGCCAACCTTATGAAGTTTAACCATGACAAGTGCAAGGTCCTACACCTGGGACAGAGCAGTCCCAGGCACAGCTACAGGCTGAGCAGAGAAGAGATTCAGAGCAGCCCTGTGGAGAAGGACTTGGGGGTGTTGGTTGTTGAGAAACTTAACATGAGCCGGCTGCAGTGTGCGCTCACGGCCCAGAAAGCCAACCGTATCCTGGGCTACATCAAAAGAAGCATGACCAGCAGGTCGAAGGAGGTGATCCTGACCCTCTACTCTGCTCTTGTGAGACCTCACTTGGAGTATTGTGTACAGTTCTGGTGTCCTCAACATACAAAGGACATGGAACTGTTGGAACAAGTTGAGGGGAGTGCCACGAGGGTGATCAGGGGACTGGAGCACCTCCCATGTGAAGATAGCCTGAGAAAGGTGTGGCTGTTCAGCCTGGAGAAGAGAAGGCTGCATGGAGACTTCATAGCAGTCTTCCAGTGTCTGAAGGGGGCCCATAAGGATACTGGGGAAGGACTCTTCATTAGGGACTGTAGTGACAGGACAAGGGGTACAAGTTAAAACTTAAACAGAGGAAGTTTAGATTGGATATAATGAGGAAGTTCTTTACTGCAAGGGTGGTGAGGCTCTGGAATGGGTTGCCCAGGGAAGCTGTGAATGCTCCATCCCTGGCAGTGTTCAAGGCCAGGTTGGACAGAGCCTTTGGTGGCATGGTTTAGTGTGAGGTGTCCCTGCCCATGTCAGGGGGGTTGGAACTAGATGATCTTAAGGTCCTTTCCAACCCTAACTATTCTATGATTCTAAAATATCCTTTCTGGGCAGAACTGAGTATTTGTGTGTGCAAAATGGGTTACAGCCGATAAACGTACTAAGACATTCAGTACACATACCCATGCATAGATGTAACTATGTGGTGCCATGCTTTTCTTTAATTCTGCTTCATGAAGTATTTTGATTTGCAAAAGTATTTGGATTTTATTAAAAACCTGCTGCATGATTCCTTCTCCTGTTTTCTCAATCTGCCTTCATTTCATTAACTACAGGAGCCCTTTACAACATTCTTTCTAAATGCAAATGATGGCAAGTTTGACCACCCAGATCGTACCTTCTCTTCAGTAGCCAGGTCTTGGAGGAACAGCCAAAGAGATACCTCAGATGTGAAGGTAACATATTCCACTTGATCTAGTTGATTTCCCTGCTCGCTGAATTGGGTTTGGACTAGATGACTTTTGAGGGTCCCTTACAAACCAAACTATTCTGTGATTCTGTAGACATTAAATAAACTGATAAATGTATATTTTCATTTATAGACTTTATTTTTTTGTAGGGATAAAGAGGGTTTTATATTTCATATCTTTATTCACTACATTAAATAAAAGGTAAATGTTACTAAAGATTATTGTCCTCTAGGAAGAATCAAAGATTCTTTGAAGTTGAGTGGACAAAAGGTGTTTTGTTTTTATACAAAAACAACCTAACTGATCTAATTTAGATCAGATAATCAGGAGACGGTGAAAAGCCCAATAAATTGTTCTTTCCTGCTGTTAACTCAATATTTGGCCCACTCCATAAAACACAGCAGGAATTGGATTTGACCTTAAAGTGTCATATTGTTATAGCTTGCCTAGCTCTGGGGTTGCATTGCCTGGGGCAATTAATAAAGCATTAATGACAAGACCCATTAAAATGTTGGCTTTTCTGTGCAGCTTTAGCTTTTACTTGAATGTGCCTGGGGATATTATGCAACAATACGCATTAGATTAAAACAAATTCTACATGATATACAGAAACAGCTGGAGAGCAGGGGGATTTTACTCTTGTTATTCCTTACCTATTGTTAAATACAAAGGGTTATTGTTCATATATGTGGGACCTTATCAGAAAGAAAGCAAAATCTAATAATAATTGAATAGTATGGTCATTTCTTGATTCTCATTTTCTAGTAATAAAGTAAGCAAAGGCTGCAGCACACCATTAATTGCTGTTTTAGAAATATTATTTTTTTTAAAGTGAATATATCTCTCTTCTGTTTTGATACTGCACTCAAATGAGGAAATGCTAAGGTCAAGGTCAAATTACCACTGTATTTTTTACCTAACCTGGCAAAAGAAGAAGATGTAAATGTGTTGATTTATTTTTATTCCAGAACTCCTGTTTGCATAAATAAACCATCAGTCTGGTATATGTGTATGTGGACAAGCCTTCTTGTTATTATTCAGTTATTAGTTAGTATAATGAATTGCAAATTGTATGGACAACTTAACATATGGGAGAAAATGCTTTTTAAAGAGGAGAAATTAAGCCATTTTGTGGGTTTTTTAATGCTCCTTTATAATTCAATAGTATTTTAAGTACTAAAACAAAGGAAATTTCAGAACTTGGAAGGAATTTGAGTATATATCTGCTGTATTTGAAATGCAGCCATTTCTTCAAATTCAGACTGCTGGCATTTTGATCTTTCCTTTCAATGAAATCTGATTTTCCTAGAATTTCTCCAGATTATCTGGGAAAATGTCTTCCTAGTAGTGGGGCTGAAACAAAAGATAAAAGCCTTAAACCTAGGAATAAGGAAAGACTTGGAAGTGACTGTAATATTCTTGTCTGGCTTTAGTACACAGGAGAAGGTCAGTTCAATACACGAAGGCATTGCAAAAGATAGAGTAATATTTGTGGACATACAGAGGGATGGTATTCAACTAGGGCATATAATTAGTGGAAGGATTGTTCCTAAAATAGCAACTGGGTGAGTTGTCAGGAAAACAAAGACTTGAAATGTTTGTATGAAACAAAGTCTTGTGAACCAAGTGGAGTAATTTAAACTGCTGCCAGACACTATTGCAAGGATGTGGGAATTACGGAGGAATAACGGTTGCATTACACAATGTATTTATATTAAAAATTCCCAAGTTAGTTACTAAAACAAAATGTTAAAAAGATGTTCAAAACTAAATACTCACCTTCAGAAAAGTAACACAAAAGTTGAAGATGTGATGTAGCTATATCCTTTAGTGTCATTGAATTTAAAAAAGGGAGTTGGGGATAATTTGGGTGAAATAGTAACAATTAAGGGTCAGAGTTACACTGGGGAAAAGATTGTAAAATAATGTATTCTAGAATATGCTTGGTAGTGTACCATAAAGCCTGAGAGTCAGGTTTAGAAACGTATTTATTTCTGTTAGGCCATTAGAATGAGAAATACTACTTGGAGTTAAGTCATTGAACAAAATCTAATACGGGAGGCACAGATGAGGTATGTTAGCCAATAAATATGTTCTCCAGATACTCCCTGACCTGACTGTTCAGGGATACTTCCAGGATTAAAGATGCTGTTTAAAATATGATTTTGTTAATTAATGAAGGTACAGCTAAGGTGGGTTTAGAAATTAACCTTGAACTGATTTATTATGAGTGGATCCAGCTTAAGATAGATAAACAAAAGTAGATTTAAAAATATGAAAAGCTAAAACTTTAAGCAAAGAGAAAAAGTTCATAAGCTATCTAAATAAAAAAACCAAAAAGTAAAAAAAAAAATTGAAAGGAGAAAAGAATTTGTAATGTATTTAATGTCAGCTTTCAGTGTATTGCATCATCAAATATTAATACAAAGCCACTACTGGAATAAGTCTACTGAAGTATATTTCAGTCACTTAAGAAATATGTGTCACTGTCTTGCTGTTTAGTGTTCAGTCTAACAAGAAAACTTGGTGATCAGCAGGATGGCAGAATGCTGACAGTGAGACCAAAGCTATATCCATAGCATTCTAACAACTAGAATATCTCATAGCATCTAAATTCTACTTGAAACAGTCTGATTAGTTACTCGTTTGTTTCAGAGCTCTGACATTCTTCAAGAAGACAAGGTTGTTGGTTTTGTTTTTTTTTTTTTAATTTTTAGCACGTATTCATGCTGGATAAAGCAAATTCTTAGTGATGAGAACTAGCTAGTGGAAGTATATACCCAAGCTGGAGGGAGCCATAAGAAAGCAGCAGATTAAGGAGTTGGATACAGGAAGAAAAATGTGTGTATGTATGTGTGGGGTAATTAATGTCTAAAACTGAAGACTTGGTTACGTAAATACTACGAAATATGCAAACGTATGAAATGGAGAAGAACTGTTTGTCAGGGAACAAAGAGGTACACCTCAAAGGAAAGGGATAAGAGTTAAAAAATGCTTACTTAAACAACAGAGAATGCAAAGTTGAAGTGAAATGGGTTATTCTCTGAATTTTAATATCGTTGCAAGGGGAAGTAGTAAATGCCTTATGTCTCAAGTTTCTTAGAAGTGTAGACTAGTGAAACACTGGAAAAGCATCGTGGACAATCATGAATTGGCAAGAGGATGTGCTAGTTGACCCTTTAGGCCCTTTCCATTCGCAGAGTCTGTGTTTCTTAGTGATAAATCAAGAATGAGTATAGCAGCTAATTGTTGCTGTTCTTTGTTGCTTAAGATCTTAATGAACTGCATTTCTCAATGCCATGACATCAGGGCCAGCTTTTCCCTGAGGCCTTGGAGTTCATTCTGCAAAGGGATGGGAAACTGAACTATTATTAATACCACAAATACTCCACTTTTTTCAGTTTAGTTGTGCTACTGCTTAGAATACCTTACAGTCTTTTTGCCCATTTTGGTCAAATTTTCAGGGACTGGAAAAGCAGTGAGGTTTGGGGAACCACTAGGAACCCCCTCAAAATCTCTACCCATTTTGCCCACTCTCCCAAGAGCAGCAACCACTGTCTTGCACAACAAAGGGCCTTCAGCTCTGAAGTGTGAAACATCCAAAATTTCGTATTCAGTAATCTGGCAACTTCTAATATTTATCTAGCAGTCGTGTAAGAAAGTGGGTAGTGTGCAAAAGAGAAGATGCATGTGAGTGCAAAATCTTGTACTCTGTCAAGGTGTTCTGCCTATTTGTGTAGCTTTTTCTGGCTGCACACACAGTGGTAAATGGGGGTCTTTGTGGATTCCAGTGTGACATTCACAGTGTAAGTTGTTTTCCCACCCTAAAGATTTTTTTAAGTTTTTATAGTACACAATAAGTGTGTAGAATATGGGCTATCCATCAAAGCAGCAAACTTTGAAAACTGTTAAGAATAGCAAATGTTCATTATTTATGTATTCTTTCTCATATATCTGAAATTCATCTGAGCTGCTTTAAGTAAATTTAATCTCTCATCTCACTAATCTCATTAATTACTGTGGCACAGGTTATGAAATAATTTTAAAACAGTGTGTATAATCAATTAATCTGACATTCTTCAATGCCGTGTGTTATAAGATGGCCACAATTTTTGCTTTCAACTACCGTATTAAACAATGATATGTATTACCTTAATTCTTTATTAAAAAGGTCTAGTTCAAAAAACCTCTTAAAATTAATTTTTTAGGAAAGTAAAATCTGTATTCTGATTATTTTTTTCATCAGTTAAGAAAAAGGACTATCAGGTGCTTTATTCTTAAGTGCTTAAGTAATTTCTAAAGTACGGCAGTTTTAACTAGTAAACTGAGATTTTTAAGCAATGCAGACACTTCCCACAACAGTGTTCTTTTGCAGCCTCAATGTAGTTTTAAAAGAAACACCCAAGCCACTTTTCACAAACTCTGCATTAAAATTTTAAAAACAAATGCTTGACATTTGCAAAGGAATGCACATCTCTTTAGGAAGATGCACTTCTGTCAGTTAGTCTTCTTTTTTCACACACGTGTCCTTTCTGACATTCTGTTTCTCCCTTCCCCCTTTCTCCTTCCATCTCCCCCTTTGTGTATGTGTAGTTTTCTCTGGAA